GCCCCCTGCCTCGCTCTTTGGGGCCCGCCGCTCCCCACCTCTGACGGAAGGCTCGACTGTACGTTCCTCGCGATCGGATCTTGTCTCTCTTGCTTTGCTGGCGTGGCTCCCATGAGACTCCGCCCTTGCTGAAACGGCAAAAAGGGCGAACGCCGGAGGAGGAGGAGGAGGAGGCCAGCTCTGCCAGGTGCGTTACTCCTTTGTAGGAGCACCAGATCAGTTTCCTTCGGTTGACTCATGACGCCTCCTGGGCAGTCAGCATTTAATTGAAAATCTATGCTCTAGGGTTGGATGCTCTTGGTGAAAACCACGAGTCAGCACCCAGGGGGAGACCAGGCGCCCAGTAGATCTGCAGGGCCTGGCTCTGCCCCGGGGGGGGGGAGGGAGTGACTCCGAGGCTGCTCAGCCCCCCCCCCGCCCCACTTGCTGCCCGGGCAAAGAAATTAAACTGGCCTTAAAACAAAACACAATCACTTTTGCAGCTTGGCTGTTGGTTCTCTGGCTTCCTCTTGCACATGGCAAAGGCCTTGTGCCTTCTGCACAAGCAAACCTCTGAACTGGGGGAAAGGCAGACACGTGTCTCACAGGGGCCGTAGCAATGTTGACAACTTCATCTCTGCTGTTCACCTTCGACTCTCACAAAGGGAGATGGCAGAGGAAATCCTCTTCCAGCCAATCTACAACTCCCAAGTTCCAGAGAGCCCAGCAGACTTCAAGAAGTGGACGAAAACTCTCACGAAGCCTAAACCTTCTGCCTGAGCTGTTGGGAACCCCACAATCCCAACGTTGTGATCCCTCCTGTAATCCATCTGGGCTTGTCACAGCCCCACTGGGCTCACTTAGTCTGAATGCAGGGACCGGATGTCAGCCGGAGGGTAAGGCAGCCCCTTCCACACAAAGGCTCTCCAAACCAATACAAGACCTTTAAGTTCTTTTTCCCCCTCTCCCCCACATGTGTGTGTGTGTATGTGCACACACGCGCGCGTGCCTGTTTCAGACCAACCCACCCACCTCCAGGGCGGTTTATCTGCCTTCCCCTGGACCTTATTGGACTAAATCAATGGGGTTTAATTGGGCTGGAGCTTAGCTCTGGCTCCACTCATTTTGCCTGCTGACGGTGCCTCCCCACTTTCCCAGGGCTGCGTGAGGTCTCCCAAAGGATGTGGCTTGTTAACAGAAAGGGCAGTGCATCTTATGGGACAGAATTCAAAATACAGTGGAAAGCACTGACACAGCATGAGCATAAAGCAAAGAGTAAATGCGTCTGTCCTCAGCCCAGGGGAAACCAACATCAGAGGAACAGAGAAAACATCCAGTCATGTTTGTGTCCTTGGCCCTATGACGGACCGTATTTGGGGGTTTCTAACAGAGCTTTTGCTAGAGATTCCAGAGAGGAGCAGCAGCAGCAACAGGAAGGGAGGGGAGAAATGCCCATTAGACATTTGTTTGCCATCTCCAGCTGTCTAAAGGGAGATTCTTTTGCCAAAGGCCCCGGGGACAACCGAGGGAAGGGACAGCAGTTTTGGAACAAGCCCTGGCACGCTGGACCAGGGCCAAGCTGCTTCCCGCAGGCTTACTACACAAGCTGCCCAAGGTTTCAGCATGTGAGCCAGGCATGCAACGCCAAGAGAGGAAGGCTCCTCTTTTCGTGGGGGTGGGGGTGAGATGCTTGGCCTTAGGAAGTCCCAACCCTGAGCAGATCTGCTTCAGGCGCCCAAAGGGGGCCTCCGCTTCGAGCTCTAAAAGGCTGCTCTGTGCGGAGTCACCAGGGGCCCAGCAGGTCTTCCCAGATTTGCCCAGTCCGGTCGATGGACGCCTTCCCTCTTATAAAAAAAAAAAGGGGGAGGAAGGATCCAGATCACCACTGATTCTGCAGAAGCCCTCACATAAGCCAAGAGGCCTGGCCCGTTTATTTGCCATGGAACACAGATATTGTCTTGGGTGCTGCAGAAGGATCTGTCTTTAGCCACAGTAATATAGAAAACACTGCAAATTAATCAAGGAAAAAAAGCGCCTCCCCACCCCTCCCCAAGAAGTGGCCACTTGGACCTGTAAGGGTCTGACCCACAGGCAGAAAAAAAAGAGAAGGGCTTAGAGCAGGGTTTCCCAACCCCGGGGGGGGTGGTGGTGGTGGTGGTGGTGGTGGTGGGAGTGGGGGAACTATTTTGATTGCCAAGGGGGTCGGCAAAGTGTTTTCTGAGGAAGTCACAGGTTGCTTTTAGGTGTTGTAGCCTTTGCTAAACCCCTTCTTCCTTGACCTTTCAAAGCGGGATATTAAAGTTAGCCTATACTGTCAGGTGTCTGAATGAGCAGCAGGCCCTTTGGGGAAGGAAAGAAGCCTCTGCTTTCTGAGAAGGGATGATTTTACTCCATTAAAAGTGCCTTTTTATGCAAACATGGTGGTGGTGGTGGCATCACAGGTTACTTGGCTCAAAAAAGGTTGGGAACCACTGGCCTAGCGGCTCCCTCCGCCTGCATGACCCTCAGCCACGACAGCGGCACCTTATAGCCCAGAAGAGCTACGGCGGTTTCATCAACAGAGAAAGGGAGGCAAGACCACCTGTGGAGTGAAAGGCCAAAGAGGGCCAACAAGGCCGAGGCGACTGGCCTGGCCTGGCCTGGCCCCTCCCAAAACCCCTGCCAGCTTTTACACTTCACAGTGGAAGAAAAGCGTCCCGGGGGAAGTGGGAGAAGACTAAGCCCTGCATGGTAGGAAGGCTCAATACCCATCACCATTTTAAAGCGCCATCCGTGGGGTGTCCTCGGAAGAGAACACTGCAGAATGGCTTGAAGAACGAACGGCTGCCCTGTCCAGAGAGAACCACCCTCAGCCATCATGAGTTTAATAAGACATGGGCTCACACTTGCCGCTCAGTCCCATGTGCTGCCTGCAAGGCGAGGGAATCCTTTGTCCGGGGGGAGGGGGGGGTCAGCAAAGCCCAAAGGGGAAGGTGGGCCAAAAGCAGGTGAGCAGGCTGCCTCCTCCAGCCACCTATCCAACAGGCAGAGAACACTCTCTATATTACAAACTAGACACAGCATACAGGGGAAGTACCGTTAGTATGCGAAGGAGCAGGTGAACATTTGGATTAAAAGGCCGTGTGGAGAAGTGCATGCTGTCCCTCGCCATGAGACCCCCGAACCACCTCCCCCGCCCCTCCATGAAGATGAGAACGGCAAATCCTCTCGTGGTCTTCTTGGAGGAGGCCCGCCACCTCTCCTCCATCAGGACGTCAGCAACTGAAGGTTCTTCAGCATTTCATCAAACGCCTCGCGGGAGGGTGGGTCTGCGTTCTGGAAGGCCACCTTGATCCGGCTGTAGAGGCTGAAGGACTGCAGCTCCAGCCAGATGAAGCCAAAACGGTCCTCGTCAAACAGGACGAAAACCCCTGGCGTCTGCTCCGGACTGGTGAACCCGTGGCCAGCGATGAGTCCCATCCCGTAGAAGCTGAGGAGCACAAAAGAAAAACCCAGGGGACGGTGAGCGTTTGGGCCGCTGGGGTTCTGCTGCGCTGCCACACGGCCCAGGACGTCCCGTCGGGGAGAGGGTGGCCCCCGGGGGTCTCGCCCACCCTGGTGCTCGGTGGTTCAGGTCTCATGATCTCTTCCCCCATTCCAGAGTTCAAGGGGGTCTTTTAAGTAGCACTGATTCTTTCTGCAGCTACAGGGGACTGTGCTGACGACTCAAATCAAAGCCCCCCTCCACAGGAGAGCACAGCCCCTCCCCATCATGATAGTGCCCCATTTCCTGCTTTCACTCAACAGTTTTGGAATGGGGCATATTTCTCCCATGTGATGCTTAATTATTCTGTTCCTGCTTTTTTGCCCTTCTGTCATTTCTTCCATTACTGTAAAGCATCATGGGAAATTTTTGATAGAACTGAAAGGCCCACTAAAGCAAAACAAGGTTGCCACTCCATGGGCTCCTGGGGAAAAAAAGAGCCCTCCCCCTCCCGTCCCCCAGGACACAAACCAAACAGCCTTTCTCTGTGTCTAGAGACACCGTCCGTCCGTCTGTCCGTCCGTGAGCAGCGCCTGAGGAGCTGGAATTATTTGCGGGGGCTCAGCTGGATGGCCCAGCAGACCGGGGGGGGGAGTGACACGGGTCACAGGCCGTCTCTCTCTTGAGCCCCCCCCAAAAAGCTAAAGCTCCCTCCCTCCCTCTTCGTGCTTACCAGGCTCTGCAGGTCCGGGGGTAGTCTTCGTTCCTGGAGGCGATGCCACCTGGCAGCACGAAAGGGCAAGGGGCCGGCGGGGAGCCTTGAGCCGCAGAGCCTGGCTCATCCACCGCCAGACCCTCTCCGCCTCTGCCCGGGCAGGGCACCTCCAGCTGCGGCTCTTCATGGGGCGGCGCCTGCCCCTCCTGGGCGGCCCCCTCTTCCTCAGCATCCTGCCGCCTCTGCTGCTCCCGCTGGACCTGCTGCTGCACCTCCAGGACGAGACGGGAGAGCTCACTGAAGTTGCTGAGGTTTTCGATGTCTGGCAGCTGGATAGGATGCGCCAGGTCTATCTCGACCGTCTGCTGGCCAGCTGGGATGTTTGGGTCACCCTGGAGAGGGAAGGAGGGAAGGGGGAGAATAAGGGAAAGAGAATGGAACGGCTCCCCACCACACCAACCTGCCGCCACCTCAGCCCTTTCGGCTGTTGCCCTTCCCTCCTCCTCCCCCCCCTTGGCCTCCACTGACCTCTCTGCTCTTTCTGCCAGGCTGCTCTTTGTGACCAGGGCAACCACGCCATACTTTCCAAGCACCCAAACAGACACACACATGCACACACACGACGTCTCGATTCCCAGTGTACTTGATTCTTAGACAAAACCTCTCCTCTGCCACCATGGCATTGACACCCCCCCCCACCCTCAGCCTGGGGAAAACAGAGGAGCCACTCAGGTGGGCAGTACCATCCCAAGGCAAGTGCGCCTGGCCAAACCTCTGTTAAGCTCGTGGCACTCACCCACAGCATCCATTCTTCCAAAGACCTCAGGAAGGTTCTGCCCTATTTCACTGCCTATTGGGAGACCGGCTGTGCAGATAAATGGCTAGCCCCAGTCAGCCCAAATCCATGAAGAAAGTCCGGGCAAAAGGCCTGTCGGCCGGAGCTGCGCTAGCTGAGGGTTCCTGGTTGCAAACATGACCCCCCACACACACCCAAAGCCCCTCTTTGCCCCATCCCTTCACCTGGCCCCCTCCGAGCAGGTGAGGGCAGGCGGACAGGCAGGCAGCCCCCCTTCTGTGCCCCCAAAGGCAGGGCAGGGCAGGGCACAAGGCCCCCTTCCTGTGGGAACGGCCCAGAAATGCTCACCGTGATTTTTGTCCCTTTGGCTTTTTTCCCATGGAAGCTGAGCATGACGATTTCGAGGCCGTGGCTGCCGTAGGTCCCCTTGAACAGGCCCGGCTTGATGAGATCCTCGGAACTCTGGGGAGGGAGGTAGATGCGTCGGTACGTCAAGCAGTTGCTGGAAGAGGAGGTTGAACAGAAATGAGGTGAGTTTCACCCCCAACCCTGAGTCCAGCCCAGGGATGGCCTGCAAGGCCTAAAGGTTGACGTGCAGCACCAGGGCGTCTCTTTTGAAGCCAGGCACCCTTACCAATGAAGCTTTTTTCCAAAGGGAAGGGGATGCCCAGAGGAGAAAGCCAGTGGCTGCCCACCCACGGAAGTGTGTCAGACCTCTGGCCTCCTCCCCCCCCAACCCCACCCCTTCCTTATTCCCTCTGCCGGTGATCATCTCTGTTCCTCCCGGTCAGAGCCCTGCTTCAGGCCTGCTCCTTTGCAACCCTTCGGTTTTTGCCAGGGAGATCTGGCACATTTGAGAATCAACTCCGAGGAAGAGGCTTTTGCCAAAAGGAGCTTAGGGTCAGTGTCGTTCAAGGCCATTTCTTTTTGCCCAACTGACTTCAGCAAATGGAAAAGTGACACTGGCCCCCTTCTGTGCTGGACCAAAATATCCTCCAGGGCAAGGGAAGGGGCAGGCTTGGGTGACCGGCGATGCCTGAAGAAGGGAGGCTGGGGCCCTCTCACGCATCCCTCAGCTGCCTGGTGGCTGCCTGGCTCGTGGCCTCCGCGAACCATCTCCCAATTGGTTTTACAACTAAAGCAGATACGTCTGAGGCCCAGACGGCAGCCTCTGCCTCTCTCTGGCCAAAGGAAGCCAAGCCTCGGCAGCCTTTTCCCCTTAGGAGCTTCCCCGTGCTTAGCGAAGGGCATCAGCAGCTCCCTTTTCCTAGGCTCATTTATTCTTGAATCAAAACAGTTCACTCTATTTTTGGCTGTGGCAGCAGAAGAACACGAGAGGGTCCATGGACACCCTGCTTCTCCTCCCCCAGCTTACTCGTATTGGCTTGTGTAGATGAACTTCATCAGGATGAGCTCCTGCATGTGTTCATGGAAGATGTCTTCCAGCGTCCGCCCCCACTCCTCCCGCAGCCACGTCCGGAACTCCTGCAAGAGCCCAAAAGAGGGAAAGCGCAGCCCGTGAGCCTCCACGCACGTACGCACGCACGCCTGCCCGGCACGGGGTCCAAGCTTGGCGCAGAGTTGCAGAAACAAACCAAGCTGCTCCCAGCAGCAGCAACGGTGGCTAGTCTTCCACTGGGGTTCACCCAGCTTCCCAGACCTCTCCAGCGGATTGCCCTTTCTGGCATCCCACTGAAAGAAGGTTGTGTCTTGAGCTGGCCAGTTCATGGAGTCTATGGCACAGAGTGACAAAACCCCTTCTGCCATGACACACTGCTCTCCCTATGCATCTGTCGTCCTCTTCACACATTTCCAAAGCTGCAGCTCAAGCGCTCAAAGGACTGGTGGGCTGGGAGTCCAAAAATCCCCTCCCCTCGACTGTGCTAGCCTCTCCAAAAACGACTGTTTCCTCCTTATGCCCCCACTGACCCTCAGACCGGCATGTGAACCCCTGCAGTGGCCACTGAAAAAAGATGAGCCTCAGGCAAAAGGGGGCCAACCCTGAGGGCCCCAGCGGGAAGGTCCTGAAGGCAGTGTCTGCTGAGGCCTGTGCTGGCCCTGCAGAAAGAAGGTGGGGGTGGGGGTGGGGTGGGCTTAAGTAGGTCTGCACTTTTCAATGCGTAAAACTTCCCAGGGGCACGGAGAAAAACAATGCTTCTCTCCCCCTTGGGGATTATTTTCTTTCCAGAGGGATGATGTGTGTGTGGGGGTACCCTAAGTTGCCACCCCTGGCCCAGATGCAAGACGCCATTGTTTTAGGCCAGCGTATGAACACAAACAGGAGTAAGCTCAATGGGGCTGATTTATGAGGAAGCAGGTAGGGTTTCTCTGCAAAGGCATGGGACAATTTCCCTCCTCCTCCTCCTCCTCCTCCAAGGCCAGCCAGAGAGGACAGTTCAGGGGGGTCCCTCTGTCTAACAACCCCCCCCCCCCGCCAGGCAGGGCTTACCTCTTGTCTTCCCCCTGACATTCGGTGGTGATCGGTCTGGTTGCACTTGGTGGAAAACTCGTCCTTCTTCACAATCTGTGCAAATGAGAGAAGCTCAGCCAAGCCTGTCATGCTCAGAGCCGCACCCCAGACGGAAAGGTCCAGGGGGAGGCCTGGCGGCTCCTCCTCCAATGCTTCAGGAAGAAGCAGGGGCTCACCTGGACGTGCCCACTGTGGGGCCCCTTGTGGCCATACATGCATTCCACTGTGGCGCTCTTCCTCTCCATCAAGTGGATCCGGAACAGGGGCTTGAACCTCATGGGATCGTCCACGTGGGGGTCGTGCGGGGGCAAGTACATCCAGCCAATAATGAACAGGCCATCCACCTGTCAAGGGTGAAAGGGTAAAGGCTTCAAGACCCATTTGACTTTCCTCGCAAGAGTGATGCCCGGTGAATGGCTCTTCAGAGGAGGAGGAGGCACCGCCCAGCCATCAGGCAGGTTCCCCTGAGCTGCTCGGAGGGCAAGCACATTTGCCAAGAGGGGAAAAGAGGCACTTCTCTCCTGGAGCTGCCAGATCCAGATTTCTGCCAGGCCACGTGGCCCCGATGGGTCTCCGACCCCTCTCTCCTTCCGCAAGACCTTCTGCAGGGACCTGAAGGGCTGCCCCTTCCTCAAGACACACGGGCGCTTCTACCACCTCAGTACAAGCACAGAGATCAACCGTCCAGCTTTCAGCTGGAACCAGACCTCCAACTCCCTCCCGCGGAATGAGGAGGAGAAGGCTGAAGCGAGTGCCTCGAGGCGCTTTGCCAGCATACTCACCACCACGTTGAGCAGTCCCCCATAGGGCCCGATGTCTGGTTGCCAGAGACCCAGGATGTGCCGGTATCGGTGGAGCACTAGAGAATTGGAGGGAAACGCCAGGATATCAGAGGAGAGAGAAAGAAGGGACACGTTCTGAAGCCAAACAGAAGTGTGCAGCTGGGGTCAGAGAGCCCCGTGGACAAGAAGGACAAGGAAGCAGGGTGGCCAGCCCGAAACCCACCTCCTCCGTAGGCAGATCCACTTATTGGGCCCAATTTACTCTGCTTCTGCCAATCCTGAGGAGGAGCACAGATGACAGGGAAGCCAAAACCCTCACCTCTCCCCAATTTTAATGAAAATCCTTGTATTAATACGAATCCAGTTCACTGCTATTTATTTCAAGGGATGAGCCAGTTGAGGCATGGGCGGGGGGGGGGGGGGGGGATACCCAGGAAATCTAGGGCTGGATCTCTGCCACTTGAGGTCTGGGTGTTAGCCGCCCCGAGTAGACATGGTCTAGAGGGGCGGGGTAAAAATCAAATAAATAAATAAATAAATAAATAAAGAGGAGGAGAACAACGAGTTTCAAGTCTGACGCATTATGGATGTTAATTTTAATATTGCACGTTCCCTCTCAGCTTCCTCCTCCTGGTTGCTGACCATATGCACCCTGGCCCTGCTGTAGCCCCAGTGGGTGCAGCACTGGGAGAGCCAGTGCCACACAACAAGCCTTGAGGCTTCAGCTGGTCCACCGTGCAAAGCAACAACTGTAATGACTCGGGTCATTATTCTCAGTAAACCCTTAGCACCTGAAACCTTTGGGGAAGCCAACAAAAGGGAAGCTCTAGCAAAAGTAAATGGCTTAGAAGACTCCTTGAGTTCAGCAGAACAGCTGGTGAAAGCATGTGAAGGTTCCTTGACTTGGCTCAACTGCACTCTCCACTAATGACTGGCCAATGAATGGCTACTGTAGGTCTAATCTGAATATTTTTGGACTTGGACACAGGATGTCCCATTGCCCGGCCAGCATAATCAGAAAACCATTCTGTATTGAAGAATGCTAGAATATATGATCAGACTTCTTAAGGGAAGGAGAGCTTTCATCCAAACATCTGACCTGCTTTCAAAAACAGAGGAGTCGTCTTTCTTTTTCTTGGTTCTTCCTCTTAGTTTCTGGTTCAAGTTCATTTGAACACCTGCAGCTCAGCCTGCTTTTCTGCCTTGAGACTTAACCAGATGCAGATTTCTTTACATGAACATTAGAAGGCCCTTTCCTCTTCCTTCCCTTCCTCCATTTTCCTTTCAAATCATCTCTGCTGTAGAGCATTAGAGCACTCAGAGGCTTACACAACTAATTTGCAATCTTTCTGCCAAGTTGGTGAAAGGAAGCTATGGCAAGTACGGCATTAGTTCCCATTAAGGCCAGGTTTCACCCAGTCCATTCTGGGTTCAGCAGGGACTCCTCTAGCCCCAAGGTCCGGCAGCAAGTCTTAGAAGACCCAATGCAGAATCCACAGGATGGAGGTATGGAGATACAGAATGCTAGGAGGCAAGCTGTTCAAATCCTGTTCTCCTAGCCAGGGAGTGTTACACCTTTGCAGTCATGCAGACTCCCAGGCCCCAGAATGACATGACAGGGGCAGAAGACTGATGTTTTCAGACTCTGCTGACTCCTTACAGTGACACCCGGTGTGGGCAACACATACAGCTGGCCTCCAATGGCCCGGAAAGCTCTACTTGCTAGTTTAGCGGTCAGACAGGCACACACCATGCTTACACAGAAATGCAGAAAGCATTTGCCAGTACATACGACAGGTGTAAACATCTCGGTATTCCATATGCTCATAGTCGGGAAGGATTTTCATAAAGCGCCCTGACTTCACTCGTGGATTTATACCTGAACAGACACAGGAGGCTGAGTATGAGAACTCTGGTCCCCATCATCACCCCCCCTACTTCTTCCCATGCCACACCCACATCTACAGCACTGGGGTGCTGCTGCTGCTGCAGAAAAGGGGCTGGAGTTTTTAAAGGTAATAATCACAGAAGACATCTCAGGGGGCTGCAGGAAACCTCGAGGGAAAAAGCAACGTGAAAGTAAGAACTTTCTTTTACAGAAGGAAATATAGCCCCCCTCCCCATTTCTCACAGAGGTGCCAGTTAAATCAAACCAAGGACAGTCAAGGGTTCATCCAGAGAAGCCAGTGTGAACCTCCTCTAATGACATTTTTGCCTAGGTAAGCTGAGCCAACATTAGGCTCCACTCAAGAGACAGCCAAGGGCTGTCAAGGGCTAAGGAGGGGTTTATTTATTTGCTTCTCCTGGAAAAAGGTTCTGGTGCCCCCTCCGCTGTGACAGCCATGTACCTTTGGACATCCCAGAGATGGGCACACACTGGCATGAAGCATGAAGAGGGTTTGGCTCAAAAGGCAGGGGCTTGCATGCTGACTGGAATTGTCTTAAGAACAGCTGCACAAAAGTAGGTGATCCCTTTGATCTGAGCAGTGGCATCGGTCCAAAGCCTGGCCAAAAGGCTAAGTAAGGAAGCTCGCCCAAACCCTGGCCTGAACCACCACCTGGCTCATCCATGCAGACTTGCTGCTAAGCCTGCTAATAATGAACCACAAGAATCAGGCCCATCATTATATTTAAAGGAAGTGGGGGCGGGAGAACAGCTTCAAATATGGACATTTCTGGAGTGCACAGATAATGAACTAATATCATTGGGGCTTCACAGGTACAATCATCCAAATACATGACACCCTCTCCACCTGACCCTTTTTGAGTCTTTCCAGTCAAAGATCAGGGCAAGTCCCCATTCAGAAAAAGAAGTAGAGCAGGGCCTGCACATAGAGCACTTACGTTTGGCATACACATCTCGACATGACACTCCCGTGATCTCCAGTTTCCTCAGATTTTCACAGACACCATATTCTGCAACAAGACAAAGAAGAGCACATCAGTAGTATAATCCCTTATAGTACTCACGTCAACAGGAGGAGGAAGGAGTCCCTGTATGGTGCCATTGGGAGAGGAACATTTCACTGCCTTGCCCGGCGAATCTGAGGGACTTCCACTCAAGGGACCAGCCTCCTCTTTGCTCTCATCATACCATCCAGAATGAAACCACCACCGTCATGGCCAAGTACCGTTCACTCTCTTTCCTGTGTTCATACATGTTGGCTACAGTCCCAGAATTCAAATGACTGTTTTTGAAGTTTGGACAATAAGCCTCCTGCAGCATCTCAGAGGAGATGTTCTGACCCACAGTTTTGTTACAGCTCTAGCTTTCACAGAATATAGCTCAATCCATCAGATGCATGGAGCATCTTCCAGTGTTTAAAGTACATAAAGAGTGCCTATGGCTAGAGAAGCAGACCGTGCCTAGTGAGGTCAAAACACTTTGTGCATCTGATTGGTCAAGCCACAGTCCAAAAGAGGCAAAGCTACTTTAAGGCTTTAAAATTATACAGGAGTGTGTTGTTTCTCAGCAACAGGATAAAGTGTGTCCCCCACTTTGATGTTTAGGCAGCTCATGAATGGCTCATTTGTATGCTTTGCAAGACAAAATTAGGGGTGGGTAGGCTTGTAATGATGGGTGCAAGTTATAACAGGGATTCTGCATTTCGATGGAGATGTTTCCTCGTGCAACAATAGTGTAGAAAAGAGTGCTGCTGAAGTTTGCATAGGTTTCCCTTCACTGGAAGACACCAACAGAGATAAGTATCTATTCTGCTAACCAAAGTGTAAAAGGTAAAGATTGGGAGCAGGGCAAGAAGGAAGGAAAGATCATTCAGATAACCCACAAACATTTAGCTGTTTTCGGAGGTAGCTAGCTGGGGGTTCGGTCTGCCCTGAACATATTGTCATAACGACAACATTGTTACGTCAAGGACCTTCTCCAGTTCAAAACTCTGGGGAAGTTTGTGCTTTTTGGAAGCTTCCTACCTCACTTTCAGAATAGGGCACAGAGCTCAAGAGGGCAAATTATAGCAGAAAAAAACAGGCAGGAGAAATTTGAGAGCTTTGAACAATGCAAAGTCCTCATGACACCTGAAACACTAACAAGTTCATAAACTTTGTTGGTTTTGCTGTATAAGGCCACACAACAAAGCTACAGAACAGGAAAAAAAAGTTTGAGTATCTCTCTTCAGGATCAAAGCCAAATAAGAAACTAGCAAAAATAAATTCCCCATAGAAGTCCATTTTAAAAAGCATCTATACAAATTTTACTAACTAAAAGGTACATCAGCATTTCTGAGATTTCTAACAGTTTTGGCAACAATAACATTAGGAAAAGGTGGCATTTTTTGTTTTTAAATCCACAAACTGAATGAATCAATGATGGTCTGACTACATACAGGTTCAAATGGCCACAGAGATCATTCAGAAAGGCGGATGAACCTTTACATTGACAAGTTACTCTTTTTATTCATGCCGAGTTAAGGAAGTACAAAGTATGTGTTTATACATCAGTGAACCACCCGGTGCCAAGACAGCAGCCCTTGGGCTCTGCCAATGTGGTTTTCATTTGTCCCAATTTGCTGGAGCATTTAGTCCCTACAAGAACTTCCAAAGTCAAAAGCCAGGCTGGCTGAGAAACTGCCATCGAATCTACCCAGGTTAGAAACAGGCTTTTCAAGTAAGGGTTTAAAGAAAAGAAAAGAAAGAACAAATACCCAAAGTTGCCCTCTTTCTATGTGGAATGCCTTCGATAAATGGCCAGAGATGAGCCAACTTCTGCAATTTGCTAGTAGGTCAGCCTCAATATACTGTAGTCCTGTCAGCTCAAGAGCATGATTTGCTCATGCGTCAGGCTTTATTCCTTCTCTTACCCTGCTTCAAACTAGCCCTTTTCATTGGGAGCAAATGTCAGGCTCTTGCCCAGCCATGCAAGTCTCCCTAACCCACAGAGCTTTGCCTCAGAAAAAATAAGGATAAAAACATGGACCGAGAAGAGAAGTGGCAGCTAATCAGCTCTAACCGAGGCATCCCTTTCCTGCTCTCAAAGCGCCCTACCGCCCTGGAAGGCCTCCTCCTCCTGCTGCTGCTGCTGCAGGAATGGACAGAAAAGGGGGTTGTCGGAGGAGAAATCCCCCAACCCGGAGGGGGAGGAATGGGGGGGGGGGGTTCCGGGGATCGCCTCCTCCCTCCTCGGCCTTCACGCAGCTGGTCGCTCTTCTTCTCCTCCTCCAAGGGGCCGGCAATTCCCCTTTGGGAGTCAGGCTTGGGGGTTCACTCAGCCCTCCATCCTTCCAAGGTCAGTAAACCGACCGGCCCAGCCGGGGATACCCCGAAGTGAAGGCGGGAGATCATCGCCGCCCGCCCAGGGGAGCGCCCCTGCCCGGCTGGTCCTCCCTTCCCTTCCCTTCCCTCCCTCCGCGGGGCGGCTGCTGACCTTCCCGGCAGCGCCGGCGCCAGATGGTGTCGGTGCGGAGGAGGCGGCGGAAGGCCCGGCAGACCAAGGCCAGGCTGGGCAGGTCCGGGCCCGGCAGGGAGCCGAAAATCTGCACCAGCAGCTCCGGCGGCAGCTCCAGCAGCGACAGCCCGGCCGGGCCCCTCCGC